GTTCCCCGTCTCGTGGACATGGTTGTATTTCTATAAGACAGCATGGCATATATGAGTCGTGTAGAAAATACACCCAAGTTGTTTGAAGAGATTACCTGGCGGAACTCTCACTTTGCTGTGAGAGTATATAATATTTCACTTTAGAAAGTCAAACATTATAGAATCTTTGGTCCGGAGATGTCTGGCAATGCCCTCAGTGAAGAGAATAACTGACTGAGATTTACTATAGGGTTACAAAATCTTTGGTGTCCATATTTGTCATCGAGAGTACAACACAGTAAATACATTAAAGTCACACATACAGTACCTGTGCTAACTCATGAAATGTCATGAATTAACACAGGTTAACGACTTTAACGCTGAATCGGTAAACACTACGGCTCCCAAAGTCTGATAGCGGAAAATAAAAGATATGTCAAAGAAATAAAGCAAAGTTTGGTTAAGAAAATATTATTTACTGAGATAAAAATAAATAATTTTCAACAAAAGTCACATTTTCGAGAAACGCCTATATTACAACCAAGTTAATAAAGTACATAGGCGTATAAAAGTGCATACAAGGTAAGTACATATATGTGGGTTTAGGCGATAATATTAATGGATATATTCCTCGATAAAGGCATTTGTCCACCAATCCTACTGATAAAATAGCTAAGGACCATAGTATATATTTTGCATTTCAGATAATTACCATCTGAATGTACACACACATACGAGTAGATGATTGACGCGAAAATTAAAATTAACATTCGATTCATTTGCAACACTTGCAAATATGTCATTTTGCTTTCTTGTACCTTTTATTTGACCAGTCAATTTGTGACATCTTCCGCATCACATGGGGGGAAAAGGCCTACATAAAAATAATATTGTTCACGAAGTGTATTGTGTTTCTCCTTCTAGTTCACTAGTCCTTGGACGGTCTTTCCTTGAAATTCTCTTTGCTTACTTTTCCCAATTATCGTTATTTTAAGCCATATGTCACAATCCGGCACAAATTTGCCTGCAGTTTTTATCCACCATATTAATTACGCATTGATTATGATTTGCCTCGGAATTTCCTAAAATATGACGCCTGCAAAGCTTTTGCCGTTTACATTAAATTACTATTTACGCCTACCGGTAGGCGCATTATGTTTTATTTTCGGTTTACTAGGATACTAATTCGTTTATTGCGCCCATTAACTTTTCGTGAACAAGAGTTTAGGCCCGTGCAACGCAGCACTTAATATATGTCTGATTTCACAGTTTCAAAGGACGAATCATATTAATAATGCTACGAAAATATAAATAGGTTGGCTAAATATTAAAGGTGAAGATTTTTGTGCAGGTAACAGTAGAAGCTCTTAGCGGAGTTATTTCGAATATGCATATGCACTACAAGTATCTAGGTATGCGGAAAACACTATGGCGGGCACTAGTTTACTTTCAGCAAATTCTCATCTCTCCTATATGTATGCATGGTATTAAATGCTTCAATGTGGAGTTTTTAAGCTGTGTACGAATACAGTGAGTGTTTGTAAAAATGGGGCACCAAATATTCAAGATACATTGGACACAGACCATTGGTCAAGTTAATATTTTCATTCTTATCAAAATAGTACTTTAAATATTTGTGTATTTCGGAAGCAGCGCCAGTTAAGACTCGACGTCTAATCCACAGTCGCACACTTTACAACAAGCAATTTTAAAATTGCCTGTTGTACAGAAACTTTATTGTTGCTTTCTTATGTATAGTTTTCATTATTTTACAGCAAATGCAGGTGAACCCGATGAGCCGATAATTTTTAGCATTAATTCGAGCCCTACTCTTGAATATCGGGTAGGTATTTGCTGCCTTCCACTCGGATAGCAGTCCTTCCGATTCGAGTGACAAATGGAAGATATGCACAAGTGGTCTGGAGGGTCTGATTGCCAATCCTCTCAAGAATTTGACTGGCGTATTGTCCGGACTCGACGACTTTGCTTCTTTCAGATTCTACGGTTTTCATTCCAAGGCAGATGCCGAGAAAGGTAGAGTAAAGCACGGGACCGACAGATATCACAACTCTGTGGACATTTTGATTCTCAAACTCCGTTCTTCCAGCGAATATCGAGGCAAAAACCGATTCACGTGTTCTGCTTTCTTGTCGTTTTCAATTACGTTTACATCATTTTCATCCTCAAGTTCTGTGATCGGGTCTTTGCTTTTCAGCTAACTGTTGATATACTGTAATTAAAGATCGTTCTTATGCTCGGTATGCTGTATACTTTTTGATTCATAGTCCTTCCTTGCCTAATGGAAAGCATTATTCGACAATATGTTGTTGGCGGCGAAATCCTTCGATGTGTTATGGTGACCAAATCTTCCTAAATATCTTCCATTTTCTTCGTCCTTAACTGTCTACTGAGGTATCTGGTTAACCAGGCAGGGCGACTAGTCTTTTTTACCCCTACTGGACAAGAGCGCCAAAGCAAATCGTCTAAAAAGGTCTCCAGTCGACCTCTGGATCCCTATTGGAAAAAAGTCCCAATTCAGCAGTGCCAGCTTGCTCTTCATCACGTTACAATCTGCCTTCCATTTATTTTGTTAGCCTTCCGTTTTCTTTTGGCACAGAGTAGCAAGTAAACCCAGGATAATGTATAATAATAATAATTTTTATTCAAGACCCGTGGGGGTCCTATCATAGCAAGTTAGAATAACTTTTACATTAATTTCATAATTTAAAACGGGGTATACAGAATTATTAGAGTACTTAATCATAGTTTTTGAATAAGTAGCATGTTACGAAGAATGTTGAGCAAGCAGTAAAAAACTCCTAGAACTTCGTGAACTTGCCGATGAACTGTGCAAACCCTTATCCGCAATATTTCGAAAGCCATTTGAAGAAGGCGAGCTCTCGGAGGGATGGAAGTGCATACTCCTCACTCCGATCCATAAAGGAGGCCCACTACTTGACTGCGGAAATTATCGTCCCGTCGCTCTTACTTGCATCGCGTGTAAAATAATGGAACGCATTATCAAGAGACATTTGATTCAATACCTGGAAGAAAATAAACTATAGGAGAAAGAAACTCTCGTTCCTTTGTTTATAAAAAGCAGGCAGGACCGGACTGTATATGGCATTCTATGACGGATTTCATGGAGGGGTAAGAAGGTAGGTCTGGCAGGACTGGCTTGTATGTAGACTTGGGCAAAAGGATCGAGTGTGGAATAATCATGGGAGAATTCATATGCCGGATGAGGCCATTCATGTCAAAGTGGCGAACTGAAAACCAGTTTCGAGACGATCGGAACCCAAATGCGATCAGTTACATTCGGCCGAATCCAGCCGAGGAGGGGGCAAGGGAGATGCGACCAGACTATTAGTGTATGGCAAATACAGAAGGTTCCGCCAAGAGCGTCGATAGATCGCATTCTGTGAGGGCACGATGGATGGACTCTTACCGAGAGGCGCACTGGAATAGACTTGGTCAATTTTAGGAAGGTCTTTCGTGAAAACTACATCCAAAATATTGGCTATCTGATTCTCTCTAAATCTCGGTGGTGTCTTCACATGCAGTGCCAGTGGGAGGCCGAGTGCAAGGTCCTTTAACCTAAGGCTGTAGGAAGTTGGCGCACCGTCCACTGTCCGACTTCCCCACCGTATTGCAGATGCCTTAAAGGCATCAGTAATAAGCACCTCCTCGTGTCCTGCTACTTCCTTCTCAAACGACATATGGCCCCGTTATATGCACTACGACTGCGCAACCTTTGAAAGTGACCACAAAGCAATAATATCAACGCTCCCCTTAAATGCAAAACTAGCACCCCATTTTAGTAACATCCGTCTAAACCCAAAAAAACTAGACGAAGACTCAATGGACAACTATATTAGGTCATTGGACTGGAGCCCATATCTTCTAACAACATCCCCTATGGAAGCAGCTAACCAGTTTTACTCTATCCTATTTATAATTCCAGATACCTTGATAGACGAAAGACGCCCTTATAAGAAATCACTAATCCCATACTTCCTTTTCACTAAAATAAAAAAACAGCTGCACAACCCCTCTGTAAGGTAATTATCCACACTTCGACGAATAAAGGAAATTCAGGACCTAGTTACGAAAATAGGAACACAAAAGACCATAGCAGCAGAACATCGGGCACTAGAATCCCCTGAACAAACAGCTCAGATGTTTCAGAAACAAAAGAATACTCGTCGGCAGTCTGGATCACTATATATTTTTGATGAATCAGGACAAGTTATAACAAATGACAACCAAATAGCAAACGCATTCAACAAATACTTTTCAGCCTTCTACACAGTCGAGGAGGGAGCGACACCCCAACCGACCGCAATGACAGAACGCATTTTAGTGAGATCCGCTTTAATGAAGAAACTGTTAAAGTAGCCATCAAACAACTATCCAACGCCAACTCCTATGGGACGGACAAAATCCCGCCATGTATTCTGAAGCATATGACATATGCTCCGATACTCCTATCTAAGTTATTCATCCTACTCCAGTCAAATGCATTTTTTTGCGGACATGTGGAAATATTTGACCATCGCACCTATCTTTAAAAGCGGCAGCCGATCTCATACCGAAAACTATCGTGGTGTTCACCAAACACCTGTAATACTCGGGCCACTTGACAGTAGACTCTTGTCGTCTTCTCCTTCTAGACGACAATATGTAGAGGCTTCCTTGGTGTTCTTATCCGATCGAGAGTCTGCTCGGCGAGAACCCTGAAATTTAGTGCACATCGAATTCATCACTTGTAAGAGCAAGCGAGCACAATAGAATAGATTGACGGTGGGCAAAGTTTATTGGAAGGTTTATATCAGCAGAGGTAATTGGTCCTATGCCGTTCTCTCGTCGTCTTCTTCCTCGCGGGCGGTCTTTCGACTGGCCCCCTCGCTCTCTTCCACGGCAGTCACTAAAAAAGGCACGTTCAGAACACCAAATCAATCAAAACGGTCGGGAAAAACCCAAGGCAGGACACATTAAAACAACAAGGTCAATACGTCCTTCTACACGCCCCCCCTCTCAAGAGGCGGCTCTGTCCTCAGAGGCGCTGCCTGGGAGGGACTGCTGGTGATCTCCACCTCGTCGGAGGGTTGAGGGACTAGGTGAGGGGGAAGGATGGGTAGGGAATCGGCGGTCGCATTGGGTAGCCGGCCCCTATAAGGCTTGAGTTTGTCATAGTGGACAGTAAGGACAGGGCCTCCGGCCGACTGCGCGTCACGTATTGTGTAAGTAGATGGGGGAAAGAAGTCAGTGACGACAAAGGGGCCTTCCCACGGATGGAAGAACTTTGACGAAGTCCCCACCGGTAGAGTGGGACGGTAGCGTAGTACCAGGTCGCCTGGGGCGTATGGCGCACCGCTGACGTGCTGGTCAAAGTAGGCCTTCTGTCGCGTATATGCTGACTCTAGGTGAGTTCGCGCTAGGTTGTGCGTGGTCCTCAAGGTTTCCTGCAGCTCTAGGACATAAGCGTCTGGCTGATAGTCGTCGCAGGTTGGGAGTGGAAGCTGAGAGTCCGATGGTAACCGGAAATGGCGTCCGGTTAGCATTAAGAAGGGGGCGTAGCCAGTCGAGGTGTGGACCGCGCATCTATAAGCCATCATGGCGTTTGTCAGCCGAACATCCCAGTTGTGGGGGTTGTGGTCTTCCGCGAAAGCTTTCAACAGGTTAATAATGGTCCGGTTCGTTCGTTCCACCTGGCCGTTCCCTTCGGGGTGAGCCGGTGTAGTGTGTGTTTTATGGATTTGGAGTAGGTCGCAGACATCGCGCACTAGCCGGCTCTCGAAGTTCGCTCCGCAATCAGAGTGTAAGGAGATGGGGGCTCCGAAGCGGCAAATCCAACTGGTGAGGAGGGCGGTCGTGACTGATGCTGCGTCCTGTCGTGGAAGGGCGACTGCCTCTGCCCACTTAGTGAAGTAGTCGACCATAACTAAAATATAGCGGTTGCCTGTCAAGGTGATAGGTAAGGGTCCCACCACGTCGATGCCCACGCGTTCAAATGGAAACCCTGTCACCATAGGTTGGAGGGGGGCACGGCGTCGGGGGTTGGGTCCTTTAAAGGTGGCACACGTAGGGCAGGTGTTACAAAAAATAGAGACTTGTTCTCTGAGGCGTGGCCACCAGAACCGTTGCCTCACTGCCGCCTCTGTTTTCACATGACCTACATGGCCGAGTTCGCGGTGCAGATCATCCAGACTAGGCTGCCGAGGACAACCAATCGAGGTTGACTATGTGCGTCGTCTTTGAAGAAAAGTAGGTCATTTTCCATGAGTAGGTGGGCCCAATGACTGCGGATGATGCGCGCAGAATCAGATGAACCACGCAGTTCGGCGTCGGTCGGGCGATGTCTCCCGTTGAGCTGGTGGTCATAAACTATGGCTGTATCGGGATCCGTGCTTTGAGCGATAGCCCAATGATGGCGGGTCGGCTCACTGATGGTAAGAGCGGATATGAAATGGAAATCCTCAGCTGGCGGCGAGACATAGCATCCGCGTTGGCGTGTTTCTTTCCCGGGCGGAACTGAAAACTAAAATCGAACTGTTGCAGTATCTCTTGCCATCGCGCAAGCTGTCCTTCGGCGTCCTTAATCTTCTGCAGCCACTGTAAGGCCTTATGGTCCGAACGGATGATGAAGTGGCGACCTATCAGAAAGGGTTTGAACTGCTTCACGAACGTAATTAGTGCGAGTAGTTCCCTACGATAAGTACAATAATTTCGCTGTGGTTTTGTTAGTGTTTTACTCGCGAAGCACACCGGTCTCTCGGTTCCTGTCTCATCGCACTGGGATAGGACGCCGCCTATGGCAAACCCACTAGCGTCAGTATCGAGGATAAATGGAGGAGCGTCGACGCGCGTGTTGGGTAACATCAAAATAGGAGCCGTAGTAAGCCGTGTTTTAAGCTCATCGAATGCGGTCTGACACTCCGCTGTCCACCTGAATGTTCGTCCTTTCTCAGTGAGGCGGTGCAAGGGGCGTGCTGTGTCTGCAAAATGAAGAATGAAACGTCGATAGTAGGAGGCTAGGCCGATAACACCTCTAACCTCGGTTGCCGTCGTTGGAGTTGGCCACGTTTTGATAGCATCTATTTTATCCGCGGAAGCATGTATGCCCGCCGTGCTAACCTCATGTCCGAGGAAGGTCACTTTGTTTCGTAGGAACATGCACTTTTGGGGGTTTAAACGAAGTCCAGCGTCGCGAAGTGCAATTAGAACGGCTCTCAAATTCTCGTTATGTTGACTGCTGGACTTCCCAAATACGATGACGTCGTCTAGATAAATCAAGCAGCGGCTAGGGTATAAGTGCGCTAATACCGATTGCATTAGAATTTGGAATGTTGCGGCAGCGTTACAAAGGCCGAATGGCATAGTTTCGAATTCAAAAAGGCCTTGAGGAAGGATGATGGCTGTTTTCGGTCTGTCTTTGGGTTCAACTTCGACCTGCCAGTAGCCTGACTTAAGGTCGAGTGTGGAGAACCACCGTGCCCCCGCAAGTGCATCTAGAGTAACATCAATTCGCGGAAGCGGAAAAGAGTCGCGAGTTGTGACAGCATTAAGGCGGCGATAATCGATACAAAAACGTAGTTTCCCGTCCTTTTTTGGCACCAGGGTCACTGGAGATGCCCAGGGTGAGCGCGAAGGGCGTATCACGCCTGCATCAAGCATCGTCTGTATCATTTCGTTGACCTCCGTCTGAAAATGTGGCGGGATCCGTCGTGGGGGCTGCCACACAGGTTTTGCGGAGCCAGTGTCGATAGTGTGTATTACAAGTTTTGAACGCCCCAACGAGCGTTCGTCCCAAGCAAAAACATCCTCAAAGGTTGCCAGCAGGGATTTTAGATCCATGTGGTCTTGTTTGTTGAGATCAGCATGTTCCGGTAAGATGCTGTCTAGGTTAGTGGGTGGTAGTGCGACCGCAGCGGCGATCGCAGCGCAGATTTCGTCTTCCTGGAATGCCAAGTTGGTATGGCCGGGGGGTGTCGACTCAGATCCGAAACGAAGGACACGTTCACGGATATCTAGATGGCAATTAAACTGGACCAGAAAATCGACGCCTAGTAAAATATCCCACGTCACGTTTGGGCTAACAACAAATGTGTGTTCTTTAGTGCTAGTATGGAAAACTAACGGCAAAATCACTAGACCGATTGTGGCCATCCCATCTCCGTTTGCTGTCAGCAGGTTAGGTAGTCTTTTGGGTTTAAAAATACTATCCATGCGAACACGTGTAAGCACATCAGATCGAACTAAGGAGACTGTAACTCCAGTATCAACTAGAGCCCTGACAGGGCGGTTATCAACGTGCACCAGGGTAAAAAAAGGTAATGTATGAGCCGACGTAGAAGAGCATATAGGAACAGACAGGGTACCGAAATCGGCTTCATCCGGGCGGTGTGCAGACGTCGCATGTGGCGGGCGATTCCCCAGACTCTTGCGAGACTGGAACGTAGTGTTATTGTTTGCCCTAGAAAAACCACCTAAGTGGGGGCCTTGCCCAGGTCGACGATAGCTGGCAGGAGCGGTTGAGCTTCCGGAAGGGCGATAGTGCACAGGTCCGGGGGGATTCGGTTCTAACAACCGAGTGGCTCTCTGAATGGCACTCTCCAGGTCACTCGGGGGGTTTAGGCGTAATGAATACGCCACCTCGTCGGAGTCTAGGCCGCACTTGAAATGATAAAGAACAACCTGATCTCTGTCGGCTGCCGACAAGGACGGATAAGCGTCGGAGGCCAAGCGCGTTAGGTCGGCCGCGAACTGTTCAGGTGTTTCCTTGAACCGGCGGCGACGGTGTATGAGTCTGTGGATAGCGTCCTCGATGGCCAAACGCGGCTGGAACAGGCGCTAGACCTGATCACACAAGGCATCAAAGGGGGTTGAGACGGACAGATCGGCGTCGATGGCCTTATCCAACTGATCATCGCCCAAATATTTAAAAACTAATCGGGAGCGTTGTTCCTGCGGCACCTCGTTTGTGTGGAAACGTAACCGCCGTAACCAACTACGAAACTCGATCCGTCCGTCAAAAGGCCGAAAGGAATTGGGAAGGCAGTCAGGGGTAGTCGTGGGCGACGAGGAAGGGTTGGGCGGGTCCGTCATAGTCGCTGCCACCAATGTAATACTCGGGCCACTTGACAGTAGACTCTTGTCGTCTTCTCCTTCTAGACGACAATCTGTAGAGGCTTCCTTGGTGTTCTTATCCGATCGAGAATCTGCTCGGCGAGAACCCTGAAATTTAGTGCACATCGAATTCATCACTTGTAAGAGCAAGCGAGCACAATAGAATAGATTGACGGTGGGCAAAGTTTATTGGAAGGTTTATATCAGCAGAGGTAATTGGTCCTATGCCGTTCTCTCGTCGTCTTCTTCCTCGCGGGCGGTCCTTCGACTGGCCCCCTCGCTCTCTTCCACGGCAGTCACTAAAAAAGGCACGTTCAGAACACCAAATCGATCAAAACGGTCGGGAAAAACCCAAGTCAGGACACATTAAAACAACAAGGTCAATACGTCCTTCTACACACCGGCTATAGTAAAAATCCTCGAAAAAATGGTCTATAACCAATTGCTAGACCATCTCATAAGGTCAAGGTCAAGGCGCGCAGCTCAATTTCAAAGATAAGTGAGGCTATGCATTTATCTGGATATTCTTAAGCAACTAATGTCTGTTTTTTACTTGAGCCCCTTTTAAAAGTCGCCTTTTAATACAAGATATAATTTTTCCTAGTTTTATTTAACAGCCTGGCAAAATAGTCGTATTTTGTAAAGAAATCCTTTGTAGTGACTCCTTTCCCTACTGTCTCTTTCTATTTTTCGTAGTTAAATAACAGCAGCACTTGCTATTAAGTGCGATTTTCCGTACGTTGGCAACGTGTTGATCCTTTTTCTGTAACGAAAAACTTTTCCTGTCTGTAATGCCCCGCAGTGCACGTGCTAAACGGCGAAAGCTTGCGGCCTCCCCACCGTCTCTGGGGGCTAAAATCGTGACTGAAGACATAGCAGGTGCCAGCGTATGTTCTTCGTCGTCTGCAGATCTGATTTACTCACAAATCCCTTTAGTACATGAAGAACCTCTTGACGCTTCAGTCGTCCAAAAATACGCCTCTGTTAGTCGTAGCAGGCCATCAGCCGGCGAAATAGTCGACCAGTTGATTTATGGCGACTTAAACAGCACTTCTGAAAATGTAATTGAACAAACTTTTAAACTTATTGGGGTAATAAGTTCGGAAACTGAGGAGAGAATTAAGCGCAAGCATAATTTCGTACTGCGAAGCATTCCGAGCCACTTATCTGCTATGGAGGGATCGCATTTGTTCCTACAAAGTTGTGGCTTGAGTTTCAGTGTCGCACAAGCTGTGACTTCGCTCGCTTAGCCGTAATGCGCCGATACTAGTTACCCTTTTCTCCATGATAGAAGTCGATTTTATCTTGTCGAGTAGGGAGTTAACTAGAGACTTCTGCCGTAAATGGCGCTGCTCCGTTTCGCCAGACCTCACACCCCTGCAGCGAAGACTGAATAAATTAAATACGGCAAAAACCAACACCAAGATAATGACACCTACTGTCAGTCTGAATAAGTCCTCTACAACACCATCTGCGGCATCTGCACATCACGGCATAGTCAATTCCGTAGGGAATTCGACTACTTTTAATGCTGAGCTCTTTAAACACACCATCACGCCTGGTATAAACACGCCTCTATCAACTCCCCCAGCAACCCCTAGTAAGCCTAAGCATGTGTCTAAGTCAAAGGCAAATCCAATTGCTGTCTCAGCCACTCGGACACCCAATAAATCCAGCACCATTATAAAATCTTTTCCTCCACAATCGGCTAACAGTGCCTCAAATACCCCGACTCAAAACGTAGCGTGTTCGCAACTGCCCCCAGCCCTCATATTGAGGCATTTAGGCCAAATATGCCGATTTTTCGCCGTTT